AAGCAATTTTAACATTTATAACAGTTATAACAGTAGTAGCAAATTTGACAACTTCTCCTATGCTGAAAACGATATGAAGGTACCTCAAAAAATTAAAAGCAAATCTGCAGTGAACCACTAATCCCACCTTCTGAGTACATATCCAAAAGAATCGAAGTCAGGATCTCAAAGACATAGCTGCACTCTCATATTCATTACAACAGTATTCACACAACCCAAATTTCCATTGACAAATGAGCAAAGAAACTGTGGTATATACATACAATGGAATATTATCCAGCCTTATCACAGAAAAGAAAAAATACTCTGCCTTTTGCAACAAAGTGGATGGACTGGAGATGCTATGCTAAGTGAAATGTCAGTCCCAGAAGTGTAAATACCATGATTCCACATATATGAGGTATCTAAAATAGTCAAAGTCATGGAAACAGGATAGAATGGTGGTTGCCAGGGGAGAGGGGAGGGGAAAATGGAGAGTCGTTCAATGGGTATAAAATTACGGTTGTGCAATACAAATAAGTTTCAGAGATCTGCTGTGCAAGATAGTACCTATAGTTAACAGTACTGTATTGTGCACTTAAAACCTTGTTTAGAAGGCGTCTCATGCCAAGTGTTCTTATCATTAAAAAAAGAGTAGCGGGAGAAAAGGGGTCTTTGGAAGTGATATATAGGTTTATTACTTTATTTGTAGTGGTGGTATCATAGTTTATGCATAGGTCTAAATTCATTAAAATGTATATGTTAACTATGCACAGCTATTGGTATATTAAGTATACCTCAGTATAGCTAAAAAAAATCCATGATAAGAAAATAAAGCTTTGTCTGTTTTAAAATATAATCTTTATCATAATTTTTTATTCCTAGACTCTGTTTTATTGATGAGAAATCTTAGGCAAAGAAAGAGGGCTAGTAAGTTTTTTAGGTCATGCAGTTAGTAAGTGGTAAAGCAAAAATTTGAATCTAATTCTACCTAAACTGAACACCTGAATTCTTAACTCTTAAACTATCAGTAATATGCTGTTGACCATAGGCAATGACTATGGGTTGTGTGAGTATGTAAAGGAACAGTGAAATAACTCAGAGATGGAGCTATCTATTGAATAATAAAAATTGAAAATTATCTTGGCAGTTAAAGGAATTGAGTAACTTTAGAAGAGATTAAGTCAAAACTTCCCTACCTATTTAGATTTAAAATCCTAGTTAATGCTTTCATTAGTCCAACTCTGAAAACACATCTCAGATAACAATTTTGAGAAATATACACAGAAAATAGCTTTTGTTTACAGATCGGTTTCCTTCTATCCTGTCATCAGTGAATGAATGAATGAATGAATGAATCCATCTATCCATCCATCAATGGAGTGTTTCAAGTGAGAAAATAATTTGCAAATATTAGGTATCTTTATGTCTATCAAATGTCTAATTTTATAAATTATTTGTGAAAGCAGTTTTGCCATTTGATTCTCAAAAGAACACTCTAAGATAGAAATGCAGGTATTATTACCTAGTAACTATATATGAGAAAGTGAGATTAAAAGAGACCTGGGTTCAGTCCCTGTGTTGGGAAGATCTCCTGCAGAAGGAAACAGCAACCCACTCCAGTATTCTTGGCTGGAGAATTCCATGGACAGAGGAACCTGGAGAGCTACAGTCCATGGGATCTCAAAGAGTCAGACACAACTGAGCAACTAATACACATACACATAGCCTGTCTAAAACTTGTCTGGCCAAGTACCCCTCACAACAAAGAAGCAGGAACATTTGCAGGCTAGAATTTAGGGGAATGTCCTTGACTGACTCTGAAAAGCAAACATTTCTGGTTTTGCCTATTGCTGTGTACTTCACTTACCTAATTTAGAAGACAGTCACAGGTTTAATTCTGCTGATAAAGATCTGGACCTGAAGGCACCAAATTTAGGATCAGAAGACTTGGGTAAAGATATCTTGAAAGTGGAATTTAACTTCTTTTTAATCCCACTGTGTAAAACTCAAGTTTATCTGTAGGTAATACTACAGTAAAGCAGATTCAATGTAATCTAAAGAATAATTTTATTTAACCAGCAGAACTGTTGGTGTGGATTCCCTCCCATGGTGAATTTCTTATTCCAGAAATATCCTTGCTTTATTTACGGGATCACTTAGTTGGATGAACAGCATTAGATGGGCTGTTTGACTAAGCATTACAATCTCTTTTAATAATGGAATGTTATATATATCTTTAAATGTTTCCTTATACTTGATCTAGAATTTCTAGGTGTTATTAGTGAGATTCCACAGCAAAATTCTAGAATAAAATGCAAAATTTTTAAAAGTTAAGCTAAAATATAGTATTACAAGAAAAGTTGGCAGGATTTTTAGGGTCATCTGGGTACTACTCTGTACAGAGGGTTAAAACTTCACTACTGATATCATAGAAAGGTATGAAAAGCTACTTTACTGTGTTTGGTTAGAATATATATTCTGATAAGTAGCTGGGTGGGGGGTGCCAGTTGAGACTCCATTGGGGAAACAATGGATGGTCTCTTAACTGCCTTTTAATAGTTACTTCAAATTATTACTCAGGCTATTAGTCAGCTTTCATTTCACTCCAAACTGCATTAATGATGCTGACAGAGCCTAAACTCAAAATATGTAAATTGAATTTTGGCAAAATTATAAAGAGAAATTTGTGTGTCTGCTTTATAGTGAGATATTTTAATTAAATTATATTAAAACCAGTAAAGTCTGCATGCAACACATCACTTGTTATAAAGTTAAATGAATGGGACAGAATATAGGGCATTCAGAAAGATTTCCATTTGTGTGTCAAAATGTTGCATGTAAGAAGTTGATGTGTTAGTCAAGGTATGTTGACCAGAGAAACAGAATCAGTGGAGATATATACTAAGATATTTGTTGCAAGGAATTGGCTTAACTGATCATGATGGTTGGCTGGACAATTCCAAAATCAACAGAGCAGGCCATCAGGAGAGGCAGCTGGAACTCTCAAGCTGAAGCTGCTTCTTACAGGTGAAATTTCTTTTTTAGGGAAGCCTCAGTCTGCTCTTAAGATCCTTCACCTGATTAAATATGGCTCACCAAATTATCTAGGATAATATCCCTTATATAAAATCAATTGACTATGGACTTTAGTCATATCTACAAAAATACCTTCCCAGCAACAATAAGTGTTTGATTGAGGAGACTTTAGCCTTACTCCAGTTTACATATAAAACTGACCATCAAAGATGATATTCCACATCAGTCATTGGAGATGGTGTTGACATAATTGTCCATCCATTTCATAGAAAAATGAAGTCAAATTTCTCCTTAATACAGAAGAGTATATTCTTGATGAAATTAAACTGTTTCAGGTGAGACAACCATGACAATCATGAGCTGCAGTGATTAGGTAAACATTTCTTCCCAAAGTTCTCTCCTTGTGAGCTTTCTGATTTCCCAGACAGCTCTGCAATCCTTCTGCCTCAGGAATCAACAGCAGTACCCAAGAAAGGGTGAAAAATGTTAACAAATATCAGATTGATGCCCTGCTAATTAAGGGACAGGTCAGGGTGAGCACAAGCCTACCTAAAGCAGCACACAGCTTTTATGTTCAAAAGCATCCTTTCACCACCTTGCTGATGGTGTTGGGTATTGTATTGTAACCTAATATTTCCGTAGTGCTAAGACTTGCTTTAGTGGATCTTTCAACTAAAGATGTGTTTGTGCCTTCCATGAGTCAGGCATTGTAGTTACTCTATGGAGGTACAATTAAAGCATTCATAATAATAGAAACAACAGTACCAACGTTATTCTCAGCCCATGTCTTCCAATTTGTTTTATAAAATTAGAAGCATCTTAAGTGGCCAATATTATGTGTGGGTGAGTTTATCAAACTGTCTTCTCTAAAAGTCCTAGTTACTGAAGATCACCACCTTCAACTGTAACAAATTCATTCTAACCATGGCTTAAAAGCCATCTATTAGTAGCAAGTTATAATTCTTCTCAGTACCAAGAATTATTCATCTTTCTGTACAAAAATACATAAATACACAACCTTGTACTTAATAGAAGCATCATTTCTCTAAGAGGCTATTTTATTTATGATTTTTCCTTAGCTCCAAATGTTTGTGCCATTTCAAATTAATGGGGAAAAAAGAGAGATGATATTTTAATTGTTATCAGTGCTGTTCAACTCCTTAAGGCTTAAGAACTTGTTGGTTTACATTGAGTCCTAAGTGTCTCAGAAAAGTCATATGGTTTTTTGACAGGCATTGTTTGTTTTATAATAATAATATGTCATGTTGATGAGCTATGTTGAAACTCGGATAAAAGGAAAGTTATTCACATTAAAAATTTATGCATATCACACTGAGTCATGAAGCACAGGGCTTCTCTTATTACCTGATCTCTCTGTGTACTGGAAAATCGTCTCAGAGGTCATCACTGAGGACTGCAATCCATGTCCAAGTTATCACAGAGATAGATTTTCTTCATGCTGTAGTATGGAACCTAATGCAAAGCAAATACGCCTTGGCGATGTTTTTGAGAGACGAAAACCTAGTATTTTCAGCTGAAGTACAGTGGCTTTGGAGTTTTCTTTCTTTGCCCAAAGGAATCACTGACCTTGAATGAATGATGGAGCATGAATTTTTAGATTGACTGTTCTTGATTTATAGGCAGGCCTCTTCTCGACTGTGAGGAAAAATGATCCTTGCTGTTTTTGATTATTTCTTCATCGTTCATATTTTATATTCTGCATCTGCCCTGAAGCTGTTTTCAAGGATACATTTTTGTAAACTGGGAAAAGTAAATGAGAATATATGAAAAATAATTTGATTTCTGGCTGTAATCTTCCAACCCTTTTGGCCAAAATAACAGTAATTACCACAACAATCACAGAAAATGTAAAGCATGTTTAGTATTGTTGAAATTTTGCTAAAACTTTTAAAATCCACTAAAAGTACTTGTTATTCAGTAACTTTTTTTTTTTTCTCCTTCTATGGAAAATTCTTTTACAGGACTGGAGAAAGGAAGTCAGTACAGTTTTCAGGTGTCAGCCATGACAGTCAACGGCACTGGTCCACCTTCCAACTGGTTCACAGCAGAGACTCCGGAGAATGATCTGGATGGTAAGACCTTTCCCCATCACTGTCACGCTGCTGTCTGTCTTCTTTGCTACTTCAGCTTCAAAGAATACCTTTAAAAAATGGATGAACTTCCACATTTGGGATGTTTCTTCTTCCTGTATCTTTAGATGCAAAACAAAACAAATCAAAAACCCCTGAATGTATAGAGTCTTCAGCATGCCATATAAATATAAATCAATTATAGTCTTCATAACAAATCACTTTTTTTCAAAAATTTTGAAATGACTTTTTTTTTCTATTTGTTTTATTTGAAGTAATTGATCTTAACCATGTTCTTCAGAGGAATGCCTGCAATTTCTGATAATAATCATAAAATGTAATTATTTTACATAACTTCTCTGGCTCTTTTATGATGCTTCTGCAAATAGCAATATGTATTTTTGACTGGCTTATGATATGATCATTAATGTTTGGCACATTTTTTACGTAAAGGACAGTCTGCCCTATTTTCTTAATTGATAGTTATCTGAAATACTTGTGGATGAGATATTGAGGTTCATATAAAATTACATATCAATGTGTTCAATATAACAAAATCTTCAAAATTGTCAGATGAGAAGTACTTCTTGAAATAAAAAACATCATGACTAAATACAATAATAAAATTCAAGAGAAAGGGGTAATGGAAGCAATGGAAAAATGAATAATAGAATAAACAAAAATATAAATAATAAAACAGACATACACTCTAGAGAATTACAGATACATGAAGTAGAAATTTATAAAAAATGAATGATACTTGAAAAAGAAGGAAGTTAAAATCAGTAGACTTAAAACTAGGTGATCCAAACTGGGACCAAGAAAAAAGTGGCTAAAAGAATAAACACATGTGTATTGAAAATATGATGGCTACCTAACTAATTGAAAATGGAATTCATGTCCTTCTTCACTGACAGACCTGAAGATATTCAAGTTACTGGAAACTGGCAGTTCTCGGTCTCCCTCTTTTCCTCTCATTTTTCTCTCTCCCTCTCTCCTTTCCATCACCATTTCTCAGATCTGTTCTCCCTTTCTCTCCCTTAGGCTCCTTCTTTCAGTCTTCTTCCTCCTTGATCTTTCCTTTCTTCTCTTTCTAAATAGCTCACTGCCATCCAATTGTTTTAATATAGTCACAGTCTTGGTTTTACAACATGATTATGCTGGCAGTAAAACAACCAACAAATGCTATTTCCACAATACTGATCATCACTGCTATATAATAGGACATTAATTCAAAGAATATTTATAGAAAATTTTCCTAACGTCAGACATTGTACTGAGCTCTGAGGATATAATAATAAATAAGAAAGACATGATTATTTTCCTTGTGTAGCTTAGAAAGACAAATGTTCTAAATGAAGTTATAGGGAATCACCACTGTTATAGTACAAAACTGAATATTGGCAGTATCCTATAGTTCAACCTCGGATGTATGGCTAGATAGAAAGATAGATAGGCAAACAGGCAGATATAGAGGAGATTTGTATTTAAAATTGAGACCTGAAGCATCAACAAGAATTATCGTTGCAAAGCACACATTAGAAACTAAGGAGGAGAAGTAGAAGGCAAAGTAAATGCAAGTTTCAAGTCAACACAGGTCATAGTGCTGCTGTTAGGGTCTGAAATAAAGACCATCAGGGCTGAAACACAGAGATGGCATGCAATTACTTTTGCAAGACAGGCAGATTCTACATTTGGCAAGACAAAATAAGGATTTGAACTTTATCCTAGGAATATCATTAAGGCTATAACCTGCTTTATCCTAAGCAAGCCATGAAAGAATTTTTTAAAAATACTGACCATTATGTTTGCATTTTGAAGAGAATACCCTGTTTAAAACCAAAAAACTGTATTAGAAGTAGAACCTGATGCTGGGAAAGATTGAAGGTGGGAGGAGAAGGGGACGACAGAGAATCAGATGGTTGGATGGCATCACCAACCCAATGGACATGAATTTGAGTAAACTCCAGGAGTTGGTGATGGACAGTGAGGCCTAACAGTGCTGCAGTTCATGGGGTCGCAAAGAGTCAGACATGACTGAGTGACTGAACTGATACATGGACCAACTCAGGATTACCCTACAATAAACTAACTTGAGCCTTAGAAAATAAATATTCTTTAACTTGTCTTAGATAAATCAAGAAGCCATGGAGCTACATCAAGTCACACTTTGCAGAATGTATACCCTTCAGAAATGGATTAGGGAAGTTTAAATCATGTGTTCATTCATTCAACATATATTTCTTCTTGGAAGTTTTTCTATACCAGGCATTATCTTAGGTTCTAGGGGCAAAACAATAAGCAATGTCACTACTCTCAAAGAGTATAAATTTTATCAAGGTAGAAATGGTAGTGACAAATGATGTGAAAAAAAGGAAGTATGGCAGAAGGTATAACAAATGATGAAGGGAGAACTCTTTTATATCGGGATTTGAGAAGATCTCGCAGATTAGGCAAAACATGAGCACACATCTTGAGACAGTGAGGGAGACAGCCATGCAAAGAGTTCAGACGAGCACCCCTGGTTCAGAAAGAATAGCAAGAATAGACATCCAGAGACCGGAGCTCCGTTGGTGTCTGAAGTATGATGAGGAGGTCAGGAGAATTGGGCCCAAGTCATGAGAACATGATCAGTCTCATGTAAACAATACAAGGAGGGCTAGGATATGCTATAGGAATTCTTCATTTCTGTATTTTACTTGAAAAATTACTTTTAACCATTATATACTGTTTTATACTCTCTTCTCTCAAATTGTAGTGTATATTATTATTGTTAGTTTTAAAGAGTAACTTAAGCTAAGAAAATTAAACTCACTTGATCTCACTCTGCTGGTAACAGTGGAGCTGACGCTCAAGACCAGGTTGGGTGAGTTGATGTCCAGTCCAGTTTATCAAAGCTAAGTGTCCACGAATCCTGCAGAACTGACCCAGTGATGATAAAAATAGTGATTCAAGACAAAAAATTCTAGGAAATGAGGTCATATCATTTACCCAACCTTAAGGGACTATGTCTCTTACTGGAAGGAGTGAAAATAAATGAAGTGGAGGTGCTGAAGTTCCCATAAAATACCCAGGATGAGTGGGATGCTCCACTGACTTACGCGCTCCTACTCCGTGCTCTGAATGACTCACATTGTAAGAAAAACCAAATGTAAAATCGCAGCTCCTGGGATGGCACAAAACTCCCACTTAACCGCATTCTTTTCATATCCCTTTGATCTAAGTAGACTCCATCTCATGCATTCTCTCTTTTTAAAATTTTTTAAAATGCATTTTTATTTAATATCACTTCTGGCTGCGCTGGGTCTACATTGCTCTGGGAGGGCTTTCTCTAGTCGCGGTGAGCAGGCTTCTTGCAGCAGCCCTCCTGTTGAACCCCGCAGGCTGTAGAGTACACGGGCTTCAGTAGTTGCATCACGTGGGCTTAGTTGCCCTGCAGCTTGTGGGATCTTCCTGGGCTAAGGATCACACTGTTGTCCCCTGCAATGAAAGGGTGAACTCCTAACCACTGCACTACCAGGGAAGCCAGTTTCACACATCTATGCTAATCAAGGACCTCTATGCAGAGCTCATGCATAGAGTCTGAATAAATGCTATTTCTTTGGATGTTTGGACTTTACCAGGTTTTTAGCTTAATAGTATCTCTCTTCTGCATGCAGCATTTTTCCCTCTGTTTCTCCTTATTTGACTACTGATTCAGTACCTGTGGTGTGCCAAGTAACGGGCAGTACAAATGTGAGAAACAGGAAAACTCTCTTGAGGCATTAACAATGGCTGCAGTGATTGAGCAGGCTTCATAAGAACAAATAGTACTTAAACTAGAAACTTCAGGGAAAGTGGACTGACAGCTAGGATATAGGGAAGAGTGTGTAGGACAGAATAGTAAACATTCTTCAAAAAGTATGGCTTATGTAAAAGCATGTCTATCATTATTAGTTCAGAATTCATCCTCACTCATACTCCTTTACCAACCAATTACCTTAACACATTTCAACACATTTCATCTATTGCCTCTTCACTCATTCTTTCACGTCTTCATTGGGTTAGAATTGTTTAGACCTTTGGATTAAAATTGTTCAAACAGTTATCGTGGACCATAAGAACTGCCATGAACATTATCAATCTGATAAAATGTAAATACAAACTAATTGAAGAAAGCTAGTGGAGTCCATATTTCTTGTACGTATGCTGTTATAGTTTATGATTTGAGATAACTAGGGTGTCCCAGGTGGAGCAGTGGTAAAGAATCCGCCTGCAGTGGGGGAGATGTGGATTCAATCCCTGGACTGAGAAGATTCCTTGGAGAAGGAAATAGCAAACTACTCCAGTATGCTTGCCTGGACAGTTCCAAGGACAGAGGAGTCTGGTAAGCTACAGTCCATTAGGTTGCAAAGAGTTGGACACAACGGAGTGACTGAGTGTGCATGCGCCTGTTCTACACTCCTTGAGATCATCAGCCTTTAAAACAGAGTGGAAACTAATAGTCAGGGCATTTAACTGTAGAAGTTTGGGGCAGATGTGTTTCACTTGCTTTGGAAACTGTTTTCACTTGCTGCACTGAAAGACCAGACATTTGATCCTAAGGCTTTCTCAGCTTCTTGACCCATGATCTCTTTTCACTGAGCTACTCCCTGAAACTGAATCTGATTCCTCTTCCTTCCTCCAGTTTTTCTTCATTTGACTACATCATTCAAGTATTAAAAAGTGTAACCTCGGATAAGAATTAACATTTGGATAAATGGACAAGCTCAGAAGTGGTCGCTAGTAGCCCCAAAAGAATATGCAGCCTGATGGCTTTCTCGCTGTCTGAAAATATAGAAATATCATGGAATATGGAATCTATATAGAGTCTATAGAATTAATGTATACATGTATCTAAGCTAGGGGAGTTTTCTTTAAATATTCATCTGAGATTTTAACTTATTCAAGTAAATATTTAATTTATAAATTGAGATTTAGATGATTTTTATCAGAGTTTTCAAGGCTAAGCTTTCTGAAGTCAG